CCAGGCACTGTAACACAAGTATGTAATCCTAGCAGTCTGGGAGGCCTAGGAGGGTGGACGGCTTGAGCTGAAGAGCTGGAGACCAGCCTGAGCAAGAATGAGACCCCGTCTTACTAAAAATAGAAACGCTAGCCAGGTGTTATGGTGGGCACATGTAGTCCCAGCTACTAGGAGACTGAGGCAAGACGATCACTTGAGCCCAAGAGTTTGAGGTTGCTGTGAGCTATGATGCCACTGCACTTTACCTAGGGTGACAGAGTGACACTCTCAAAGGAAAAAAAAGAAAAAAGAAAAGGAAATCTGGGACGAGAAAAATTACTGTTGAAAATTCCAAAATACAGAGCTTTATCTTTTGTTCTGTGGTGCTCTTTCTTTCTCCAACGGTAATGGTTTGTCATGTGCTATTGGATGGTGCCACATGGGCGTGGGTACATTGCCAGTGACAGCAGACTCTCTCAGGCCCCTGGGGCCTTGCCCTGCAATGGGGAGCAGGCAGCCCACCCACTGCTGGGGTTCCCGGCTTCAGCCCCAGAGCCATGCCACGTTGAGCCACTCCCTTCCGCGGGACTGCTTCTCCAACCCACAGGATATCAAATCCCGCACTGGGACGTGCTCCGTCCCTGGGTTAGGAGTGGGTGAGAGCCATGCCCTCTTGTGTTGTCCACTGAGGACCATGCTGTGGCCCTCCCAGCTTGGGATGGGAATAGCTGCCCCTGGGCCCTGCTGAATCGGCACAGGTTATGTAGCTGACCCTGTCTCTCCCAGGGGTGGAGGACGACAGTGGTTGCTGGGTTAGCCAGGGAAGGTCAGGTGAGACTGCAGAGATTGGAGCATCCCAGGGAAGTGGACAGGTCACAGGGGGCGGGCCGGCAGAGGAGCCTCGGTTCCTCCTCCTGAGCCCTCTTTGCATGCTCTCTATCCATCAGCCTTCACTTATAAAACAGAAATTCAAAGATAAAGTTATTAAGGATTCCAACATGGTGACCATACACCATTAAACTCAAGTGGGAGGCATTTCTGAGCATGGGGACCCTGTGCACCTGCTCTCATTACGCACCCATGAAGCCAACTGTGGACCACAGAGAAAAACTTCTTTTGGGGGAGACAGAGTCTCTTTTTATCACCCTCAGTAGAGTGCCATCATGTCATAGCTCACAGCAACCTCAAACTCTTGGGCTCAAGTGATTCTCTTGCCTCAGCCTCCTTAGTAGCTGGGACTACAGGCACTTGCCACAGTGCCTGCCTATATTTTTCTTTGTTTGTTTTAACAGGCCCAGGTCAGGTTCAAACCCACCAAGCCCTGGTGCATGTGGTGGGTGCCCTAACCACTGAGCTACAGGCACCCAGCCAGGGGTCTCACTCTTGCTCTGGCTGGTCTTAAACTTAGTTTAGGCATTCGATCTACCTTGGCCTCCCAGAATGAAAAATTTTTAAGGAAAGTTTTTAGAGTTCAGAGTGCTTACAAAGAGAGAAAAGAATATCCAACAAGTGCTTAAGTTATTTGGAACAGATATAGGTCAACGTACAATGTTTATAAAATAGCGTGATTAAGTGCCGTATGTAGGC